TTCGTTATTAGGCCTCGTCAAGCTCAAGATGATTTTTGGCCCTAACAGTTAGCCCCCCACTCTCTAAGTTAAAGGGTATTTAGCTTAGAGAGTAGATTTAATCGAATGAGTGCAGATTGAGCAGATCAGTGCTAGCAGCTCATTAGGTCGAATGAACGGTTGTTTGGAGAAAGTTCACTCAACCAACCTGAGTTGGGAGGTGTTTGTTCGACCAACCTGAGTTTGGAGGGATTTGTTCGACCAACCTGAGTTGGGATGTGAATGCTCGACCAACCTGAGTTGGGAGAGGTTTACTCGACCAACCTAAGTTGGGAGATAAATGTCGACCAACCTAAGTTGGGAGGTGAATGCTCAACCAACCTGAGTTGGGAGAAGTTTGCTCGACCAACCTGAGTTGTGAATAAATGTCGGCCAATTGGGTTGAAATTCAAGGCATTGGTCAAGTCGATGTGACCAACTTTATAGCTGAAATTCAAGATGTCGATCGAGTCAGCGTGACTGACTTTGTAGTTGAAATTCAAGATGTTAAATATCGAGGCCCTGTCAGCGTGCCGGCTGTCGATGTAATTTGGGTCTCGCGTCTGAGTCGATGTAAACCAATTGTAGTTGAAAAAACTGTAGACGCTGAGAACCGAGGCCCTATCGGCGTGACCGACTGTCGATATAATTTGGGCCTCACGTCCAAGTCAATGTAAATTGATTGAAGTTGGAGAAGTGACATGCATGTTTTAAGCAAAGAGTTGAATGGAGAATCAATATGCATGATGTGCATGTGTTATAGACCGAATGAAGAGTGAGCTAAATAGAAATGTAAAATGCATGGGCCACATGTGTTCAAGTAATAAGTCGAATGTAGAAAAAATAAATCAAACTGAGTGTAAGTTAAGAGATGAAGTAATACGCATGGCAGCATGGCATGCATGTGTAATAAGCCAAATGAATAATAAGCCAAATGGAGATCAAGTGATACAAGACCAAGGGAAGAATAAGCTTACCTAGAGAAATGACATGCTTGGCATGCACTTTTTAAGCAAAGAGGCGAATGGAGAGTTATTAGTGGGTTTGACCAAGGCATGTGAGATTGGGCCGAATGACTCAATCTTGCGAGACCTCAATGAGCCGAGTGACAGCAAAGGTTGACATCAATTTTGTTTGGCCAACTGCACCAGGTGATTCTCTTACTAAGAGACCGAGCCGAATGGAGATTGAAGACTGGTTTGAAGGTGTGATTTTTGAGTTTGGCCTAAGGTGGTGTTCGTAGGTGTTGGCTTATAGATTGATCTGGTAGAACCAAGTGAGAAGTGGGGAGACAATATACACCTCCAACAGAGCCGAGTGGATTAAGGATCAAATAGGTAATCACCAACTTGACCGAGTGAAGGTGAAATAAGGAAACACCGATCGGGCTAAACTGAATGGATCCTTTGACTTTTTGTGAATCGAGTAAGCTTTCACTTCTGCTGTGGATTCATTTTGGGATTTCCTGAGCCGACACTTTCACAAATGTTAGCGTTAGGTAGAACTAAGTGGAACTTAAACTGGGACTTTTAGCACCTTGACCAAGTTGTGTTGGATTAAAATTTTGGAGGTGTCAGTCTGAACCAAGTGAAAATCCATGTACAGGGGTTAGTTTGGCCGAGTGAGAGTAGATGTTTGGTTCGTTGGCACGGTTTTGAAGGTTCAAGTTTGGGCCAAGTCCAAAGCTTCTCAAAGTCGTGTGACAGTTTGTGATTCGTGTTTGATGTTGTGCTAAGCCAAATAGCATATGTGACTTTCCCTTGTTGCAACGGGGGAAGACGGAGCCGGGTGAACTTGTTTAGCCAAGGATTGAACCCAGCAAGTTGTTTCACAGAGTGAGTTGAGTGGACTTCATAAATTTGAATGGAAACCAACCAGGCCGTATGGGATTCCAAGGTCGAATGAACTTGTATAAAGCCGAATGGTGATGCATGGTCAACTAGAGAATGAGAGTGCCAAAAGGTGCGCCAGCAAGAGACAGAGACAAATGACAGTTGGTGGCGGGGAGCAAAGAGTTTGCAAACGGTAGGGAGAGTGAGGGCCTTTGTGTACATTCAGAATAACAGCAAAAGAACTGAGATCCGACCTGAAACTGCTCGTACGGGACTTCCGATAACACCGTGTTCTTGCCTCGGGCAATATAATGTTCCGACAAGTTAGGATCGTCATTAAGAATTTAGACGAAGCTTCTGTGTCTATATTGAGTGGCGAAAGCACGGAAGAGATTTAAAGAATTTCCGAAGAGGGAATGGTAAATATTTTGAAAATAATGGAGAGGGATGCAGCTTTGAGACAAAAGCTGAACTAAAAGATTCAATGGATTGTCGATGAGCGCGTTGGCGAGGAGTCTCCAGGTGGCAGAGATCAATGTTGGCGATGCGCGTTAGGTTTCTTTTGGCGGGAATGAAGCAGTGGTTGAAGAGGCGGTGAGGGTGGCTGAGTTTGACGGAGGGGTCGGATGGACATAGACGTTGAAGAGGTTTTTGTCTCTATTGTCGGTGAATAAGGCAGCCTAGAGGGGAGCGAAGATGAGATCGGAGTTGATGAGGAAGAGGAAGGCGATTTTGGACTTCGAATTTGACAAGGACAAGTGGGAGATTTTGAAGGAGACGGCAAAGCGTACGGAGGCTTGTTGTTGGGCGACGACGGGGTTGTGGAAGAGGAAGAGATCATCGAGGTCGTCAGAGAAGGAGGGGATGGATTTGGAGTTTTTGGGAGGGAGAATTTGAGGGGTGAAGAAGAAGAAAAGGAAGAGGAAGAGAAAGAAATAGGGCGAAAGAATAGAAGTAAGGAGATGAAAATATGAGCTAAAAAAAAAAAAATATTGGTTGTTTCTGTTTTTATTGTTTTCGGATTTTGGTTTTGTTTTGGGTTTGGCTGCTGGGATTGTGGAGAAAGATAGGTGAGGAGTTGAACATCTCTTCTTGTTTAGAAGAAAACTAAAGTTTATGAAGAATTCAGATTAAGATAATGAAAGAGACATGAGAGATTAAAGAAGAAGTTAGAAAGGAGAATAAAGGTTGAAGGCTTGTGCGTGGTGAGTGGTGAGTGGATTGAAGGAGATATATAGGTGGGGACAGAGATAATAAAGAAAAGATATAAGTCAATTAAGCCTCCTAGTTGTTTGAGAGACGGGGTAGAGATATAAGTAAAAAGTATAATGAGTTATTGGAAAGATATTTAGAAGAGCATGAAGTAAAAGCAAAGAGAGATGGCGACAGATCAAAAAATAGAGATCTGATGGATATCCTCTTGGAGGTTTATCATGAAGAAAAATCAAAGCTCAAGATTACCAAAACAAACATCAAGGCTTTCCTCACGCACACACAAGCAAGCAGTAAAAATTCTACTCCAAAGACATGGTGTCTACTGGTGGAGATCTTGCTGAGCGGGCATCACTAGTTTGATCTCAGCTTCCCTAACGTCAGGCACAGTCTAATAAATTTAATGAGGGAGAAGAGATGTGTATCTGGTGCTCAAAGGTTTAAAGTGGTGCATGAACAAATAATAAACAAGGGAGATGCATCCTAATGCTCCAAAATATTATGTTTCATGCTGAACATATATAATATGATATGTGAATGAATAAAACAAATGAAGAAAAGTAAAGAAAACTTTCTTATTGTGATGAAATTTTTTTATTAACGGTGTCAATTGGAGGGAGTTCTGTGCCTCCTCTCATGTTAAAAGTTGTCGTTGGTAGATGATTGTCAGGGCCCCACGGTGGGTGCCAAACTATAGATGCAAAAAATCTACCATCATGAAAATAGAGTCTGATCCCGTGAGGTTGAGGCCATTGACAATCTGCTAGACCTGCACACATGAAATGACAAGCATGAAGCTTGCGGAAAACACCAGGGTGGTGTTTGCCATAGGCACTTCGACGCTCAAGTCAGCAAGGCCGAAAGAGATTATTTGATAAGAATTAAGGAGAAAAAGGATTACCAGGAGTCTTGTCGGAGTCTAGGACTACGGCGAAGGTGTCAAGTTCTTGGGAGCAAGAACTTCATGAGCCAATATATGGTTTTGAGTAGTTGAGATTGATTATTGGAGATTGATTATTTTATCCCCTCTTATGAGAGGGCAGATCTCTGTTTATATAGTGAACCCAAGGGTTTGAAATCTTAGTAAAACACTGAATCCTACTTTGGGAGATAATCACTATCAGGAAAGAGATAGGATTTCTTGTTTTTATCAGATTAAGTTTAATAGTTTGAGTAAGATTTGGAATCTTAGTAAAAGAGGAAATAGAATGGGATTCTGATTTCCTATTTATGGACTGTTGCAGGCTAATGGGCTAAAACCCAGTTTAGCTTAACTTATAGGATAGCCCAACTCATAGAGTAGGTAGTTCACAAAGGAATTTTAAGCATAGACCCAATCGAGATTGGACTGAGGCCTTGGGCCGTGACATGTTTATTTCGTTATTGAGTCTCGTCAGACTCAAGACGATTTTTGGCCCTAACAATAAGTATAATTATATATTTCTTTAATTAAGTTATTGTAAAAATTTAACTTTTTCCATCTTAGTTTTTTTATATGTAAAATTACAATAGACCCCCTATTCTTCACATATATTTATTTCAACCCAGGTTCCAAAATAGGGTACCTGCTGTAGGTTCCAAGCAGGGTATCTGCTGTAGGTTCTTTTTATCAGGTTTCGGTTTCGATTCCGATTCCGGTTTCCTCCACATGTAGGAATCGAAACCGCACAGTGTCGGTTCCAAAAAAATGGAACCGGAACCTACCCACACAGTATCAATTCTGGGTAGGTTCTAGTTTCAGTTCTGATTCTATCCGTAAGTTCTGGTTCTACCCGCTACCCGTGCTCATCCATTTTAGATTGGAATAGTAGACAATAGTCTTTTTTATTTATTTTATTTTTTATTTTGGAATAAATGGGTTGGGCTTGAAACATCGGGCCATTAAGTCTAATAAAATTAGTGTTCTTGCTCACAAAGAAAGAATTAAAAAAACCAGAGAAAGACAAAAAAAAAAAAAAAAACCTAAAGCTGAGAGCGAGATCCCGCGTGCTGTGTTAAGGACATAATTATGAACAGTCAAAGCTTTCCAGTTCCTCACAAGAAGTTCTCAGTTGATATAAAGGTAAAACCCCACTTTGCTTCTTTACTTAGTTTCGCTTAATTATTAAGGGTTTAGCTATCTTTTTAGCCCTTGATCCGTTTGTTTTTATGTGGATTACAAACTGTTTATGTATTTGTTTTGGCCAAACCAGCTGAAATCGACTCTACAGTGTTTTTTTTCCTTCCTTACTAGAAACTCTAATGATCAACGGATTGTTGAAATTTTGCGTAACTCAGTATATTATTGATAAGTTAAGTTAAGGTGAAATGAATTAGTGGGTCAATGGAATTGGGCATCCAAGACTTGTTTGTAGGAATTTTTGTTTGTGATTGATTCTCTTATTGGAGTAGCGTTTTTGTGTCAGATAAACAACTTTTAGTGTTAATTTTGGAGTTAGTGAGATGTTTTAGTGTGAAAATTTTCAGGGATGTCACCAAGTTGTTGTAAACTCGTGATGTTCTACTGATACAAATGGTCGTGTGCTATAATTTTGACTTCTTCACTTGGAAGTCTAACTTCACTATGGTTTTATAGGTTTGTGATTAGTCTTTGGGCGTCTTCTTTCTTAATTTTTCTTCATTTTCTTTCTCTTGCTTATGGTTCATTAGGGAAACTATGTAGGACTTCTCAGGGTCTATAATCAACTCTATGGTTGGGGTATGCAAATTCATTCCTTCAGTGCCTTATGTAGGGGTGTCTCGAAAGGTTCAATGCGGTGTTTCCTAGTGTATAAGAAGTTGACAGATTCTTCAAACATACCCATTAAAGGTTCTAGTTACAATTAGGAGAGCCAAATTGGTATCTTTGAATAGCCATGGCCTTTCCAATTCTGCTGCATTCAGATTTCTTTATAGGTGAAATGTTAGACCAGTTCTAAGAGGCTCTAATGTTTTCTAATTGCATCTATTTTGCATGGCAGGGAAACAAAACAGATATAGTCCTATGCAGTTACGATGATCATTTTCTTGTAAGTATGAGGCCTCTGGTTGGTACATGCATATGGCTGCAAATCTACGTGTATGTGGTAAATATTTTTTAATGTGTGAAACACTTTTCAGGTTATTGCTACTCAGATAGGAACTATGGGGACAATCCTGCAAGCCAGGTCTGCAAAATAATCAAGCTACTTTTTTTCTAGCCAGTGTGTCATTTTGCGGTGCAACTTATAGATGAGTTACAAATATCTTTCTTTATTGCCAGGAAAGAGGAAGGAATGTCAGTCAATCCGACTTTCAATGTGTCTGTAGTATTTGGAAAACGAGATGAGGTAATCCAGCCTGCATTTTTTTTTTTTTTATTTTTTTTTATTTTACATTGATTTGATATCTCATTTTTAGTTTTCCTTGATTTTGACTGAATGCAAAACATGTAGCCAATGCTAGTGGCATGTGCTCGTCAGTTGGTTGAACACATAAGGTATATCTCCAATTCTGCTAATCACTAATTATGAAGTTTACCTTGTCTTCATTGAAATCTTTTTCCTTGGGTTTTTTCATACTTGTCAGAAGCAAATCAATATGCTTGTGAATTTTCAAAAAGGCCACAAGCCAGTTTTGATGCGTGTTTTCACCAAAATTACAATATGGACAATTTCAATATATTTGCAAATGAAGCATATGTAATTTACTCACCTCATTTCTTCCTGAATAGTTGTTGAAATACAAATTTTGAAACCTTTTTCTATTTGCAGTCGCTCTGGCTCCTCTGAGCCGCTGGTGCTTTCTCTTGGCCTTAAAGATCATTCTGTGGTATAATACTATCCTATGGCTATGATATCTGTCTTCCTTTCTTATTAACTATGTAATGGTGAAATTCATGACACACTACATGTTTTGCAGGAGACATTGAAAGGAATTGTTTCTGCTGTCACTGAGAATCGCCTTTGGTGACAGGAATGTTGTTTTGTTCGGACGTTTTCCTCAGATTTTGCATACATTCAAGTAATACAACCTCCTCACCTTTTAATTACTGTTAATCAAGTATCCTATGAGTCGCATTTCAAATTACATCATCAAAGATGTTATTTCTTTGAGATCTTGCAAAATTTGTAATGGAATAGGAGAAATTAATTAGTACATTTGTAGGTGCAATTTTCTGATATACTTTCTATCCGTTTCATATATAATACTTTGAAGTTTCGTTGGCTTTTGTTTTAAGAATTGGTAGATAAAGAATTAAAGATACCTGCCTGACCTTTTGATTTAAAGAAAAAAAGAAAATGTGTCACCCGAGGGCTACCAGATCTGTTTTGGCAAAGCTAAAAAACGGGTTTCAAAGCTGGAAACAGGGCTAACAACAAATATCGTGTAACCAAAAGTTAAGGAACTCGATGAATTCTGGGCCGATTGAGCTGTTGCATGTGGAGACAAACGGTTCTGCGAAGGGAGAACGAAAGAGAGAGATTGTATTTATAATTACAAAGTATCATGCCAATAAATTACATATTACACGCAGAGACTCAACCAACGACATCTCAAAATTTCGGTGTTCGCCTTAGCACATGTTCACGCATATGGTACACTAAAAATACAATCCAAGACCACCGCTATACCCAGGAATTACCTGCAGGATCACAATGAAATCTCACCGCAGATAGCAATGATCAAGCCCTCAATTTATCAACATCACCATCAAGTTCATTTTCTTTTCTTATTTTCCCTCTTTACTGGTCAAAGCACTCAATTGTTTTTCTAGCTGCAAAAGAAAGGAGAAGATATGATTATTAAAAAGATGTAAAGTGACCAAAAATAAAAGAAAATTTTAACTTGTTGGCACGTATAATTTTTAGATCCTCTCAAATCCAAGCCATAATTGTCAACTAAAGTTCTCAGTATAAGAAACATCAAATGGTACAATCATACAGTAATCAATGAAAAAGAAAGATTTAGTGAGTCAAGAAAAAGGAAAGTTACCAAAGAATAACATAATATTCCTTGCCCTGTTTATATTTGTCAACTTGTTACCAAGGCATTTGTCCAAATTAATTGAGATGTTTCCATTTATAATCACCATTATGACAACCATGATGAACAAAATTTACGACTAATTCCTCTCTAACACATCTACTAGAAATGCAAGTGACATGGAACTCAACCATTTAGAGCAAATAACAAAGTTGAACTTGCGTATCAAGTTCACATTAATGCATACCTGGGCATTTTTCATTTTTTGTCTCTGCAATTCTTCCATAAGGCTCCCAACTCTGACATAATAATCGAATTTCAGTTCAATGTGAACAAAGACAAAAAACCGCGTAACAAGATTTCCTTCTTTTTTTCAAAATTTTATCTCATACCTCTGTAGCAAAACGCTCATCTGAGACTGTAGCTCCCTCTCCCTTGTAGAAGCAGGTGTTATCTACATGTTGTATAAAGTAAATTACATTAATAAAATCGCAAACAAACAATTCCTAACCCTCTGCACTAGCATTCCTATAAAAACATTAAAAATAAGAAGAACAAAATCTTCTTAAACCTAACATAATAACCCCACACCAGCAACATTAATCTTAGCATTAGAAACAGAGACTTTAAGATACAACTTCTCTGCAATTCTGGTTGCCACAAGAATTGCGGTAGAGCGGAAATTAGAAAAGCAGCACTGAACAGCCAAGTCACTGGTGATCAATTTCAGTTTTGATACACAGATTTTATTTTTTCGTACAAAGTTTTTTACTTGATTACTATTTTTTGTAAATTCTAATAAAATTAATGCAGGTTTAATTAGGTTTCCAAAATCTAGCAATCCCTAAGATTTGACCTGTCTACTGTTATTCTATGCTCTGACAGATCATGCTCTTGGGTGTTTTATAAAAACTAAAACAGGCAGATTACTCTGAACTTCTTATGTTTCAATGCAACAACAAATAACACGTAATTTTGTTGGTTGATTAATTAGTCATAGTCTTCATGAATGGGTTAGGAAAGAGAATAATATTTATCTCATATTCATGAAACTACCTCATCAAGCTATACTGACTGCATCCCTAGTAAAAGTTGGTTGTGGCCTTTTCTAGCTTAAGAGAGAGAGAAAGATGTTGCATACCTGTAAGAGGTCATTAGTGGCAGCCTCGGGCAATTCTGGAAACTTGCCTGATAAAGCAAAGGATGTCACAACCAAGAAAGTTATTGAACCGAAAATTAAGTGGCAAAATATGAATGGGAGCAATATGGCAAACATTACCAGAAGTTTCCTCCACATACTTGATCAGTTTAATAATCTCTTCCTGTCAAATAAATATACAGAGACAAAAAATAAGAATGTAGTTTAAAGACAAATTATGAAATGTACAAAATAGCGATAGAAATAGAAAAATACCCGTTGTGCGGTGTTCTGCTGCAATATGTATTGCAGGGATGGAAAAAGTGAGGCAGCTGTAAAATTTGGAGTTGTTGGACTCATTGAACCTCCACTAACTGGGCTAAAGAAGCTGTTCATAGGTCCCTGAATGAAAGGAAATAAGGGCAATGGTTATAAAGCCATTGCCTAAAAGATAAATTGCTAAGTTCCATACACGTTATTTCTGAAGTCTGTCACAAAAAAATAAAATACAAACTCATTCATATATCATAAGCGCCCCCCCACAAAAAAAGTGTGCAATGAATACATGAACTACGACATAAAATGTGTCCATGGCATAATCTGAACAGAATAAACCATAACTGAAATATTCATATAAGCACTAATTTAAAACTGTAATGATCATTGGTTTCTGGCAATAAAAGAAAAGGCAAAAATAAATAATCACTGAGATGGGTAAGTCAGATGCATCTAACAACTAAGATAATTTTGTCAAGCCAAATGAAAAGAAGAATATGGAACTATATCTTATGCAGTAAATTGTAAAGTCTTTTGCTTAGTAGGCAAGTTCAACTTCAATACACAGGCAGCCACACTATTACCAAAGTAGCAATTCAACCAACAGGGCAAATAATTTTACAAAATGGTATGTCATCAATCATCATTTCCATGGACTGCATTGCAATTTGATAGATAATACAGTTAATGGCTTTTTTTACTTCTGTTATTATTTTTTTACGATTACGTAGGTTCCAAAGAGTTTCAACTTTGGTAGAATAAAAAGTTGACACTAAGAACCAGCAGAAGCAGCTGAATAGACAACCTACACACCCTCATCATTTTAATGATTATAAAATAACAAACTAGATATGGTATAATTGATATTGGTACATGTTAAGATCTTGACTTTCTTAAGGAAGCAGCACGACACTAATGGATCATTTCAATATTAACTAAGGGGTACGTGGTGTCAAACTTAGATTATAGCCTGCTAATGCAAATATACCTTGGGGCTCAGATCTGCTGAAGTAACTTTAAAGCGTCCCTTGCGTTGGACCAATGCCCCATCTGATGTATCCTCTGCCGGATAAACAGATGCAACACAAAAATAGAAGATTCATTATAAGGTATAAAGCATAATAATGCCTTTAATTTAAATTATAAGATATCATAAAGTAATGAAATCACGACAGATATACCTGAAGGAACACTATTTGCATCTCTCCTCTGGCGATACAACAATGAACCACTATAGTTCCGCTCAGATTGATTTTTTGGCTGTAGAGAATCCCTTCAAATATTTCCAAGAGACTGCAGTTATTTAGTATACATAATCAAGGCTTTCCACTCAAGTGCATGGAAAGAAAAAAAAAAAAAAAAAAATGTATATATATATATCAGTCAATGCATAGCTTTGCGCAGCACATCACAGCAGACAGGCTTTTGATATAAAGAAGACATTTTGACATTGTGTACCATGTGTCACCATCCAAGACCAAATCTTATTCTAATATTAAAATATCATGTCCTAGCATTTTCAAGCAGGCATTTCATCCAACATAGGTTCCAGGCAACCCAATAATTCCGTCCCACGTTTACATGATGCTTTCCACAGAGTCAAAAAAAGAAAGTGGCATAGGTCATAAAGTTTAATGCGTATCCGCAAAACTTATGTTCTGCATCTATCAAAAAGAAGAGAGAGTTGTACAACTCACTTAAGCAAATTTACAGAGCTCATTCACAAATAAAGATGTGGCACATGGAAAAATACTGAAAGACTAAATCCTTTTGAATCATTGAATCTAAGAATTGCATTATTTCAAGGACAAGCAGCATGCCAAAACTTTTTAGGCCGTCTTTCTGTAATGTTTCCAGAATAATTTTCTAAAATAGCTAAATAATATATCTAACAATTCTGATCAAATTCGGAGAAAGCTTGCAGAACGTGTCAAAATTTGATTTTCAGGAATCAGTATAAAATTGACAGAAAGCTACAAATGGAACAGTTATTTCTATAAGTGAACAAAGAAGGAAAAATTAGCCTAATCATAAATTCATATTAACAGTGTAGCAAATAAATTAAGAGAAAATTCAACTACAATCATGATTAAGCTTACCTGTCCCCTTCACCAATAACTTTCTTAGGAGAAAAAGCATTATCAGGTATTAGTGAACCACTCAAGAACTTTTTATGCTCACAAATGGCATGACGGGGTAGAGAGCTATTTCGCCCTGAATTTTCACTCTCATTTCTTCCAGTTTCTTGGTCCAAGGCCCATGGTGAGGTATTCCGAAGAAACTGTTGCTCAATATCTAATTGGGTAGTATCCTTGCAACCAGAGCTTGTTGCAGCCTCATCATCCTCACCAATATCAAAACAACCTCTGCATCAATAAAGGGACAAATTAATTAGAAGAGAGAAATTGCTATCTTTCTCAATTGCAATTTTCTTTCGCAAATGCAGAAGATTAGTATGGTTAGAAGATAACAACAATGAATTGGAAAAAAAGCTTAAGTCAGCATTTCTATTTCCATTCCACTCAATGCACGAGCAATATCAAAATGAAAAAACATTCCACTACCCTTGAAGACAGTTAATGATATTGGTGAAGTTCTTAGCAACTAAAATGAGAGGGAAATAATTATTACTTAAGTGCTCGCAATGGTTTGATAGGAAATGAAGCAAGTGAACTCTCCAAATCATGAAGATCGTTGAAGCCATCCTGAAACAAAGAAAAGGAAAATGAGAACATCTGATGATAATTTAATGAAAAAGAAAACCTAGAGAATACTTTAGCTCATACCACCTCACTTGGTGCAGCACTTGAATGATTAGCTCTCTCCAGGGACAGCCTTTCTCCTGGAACCCCAACACCATCATAGCTGTCCCTTTGCTTCCCACTCCCACTTGGATCTTCTTCATTTGTTGTAAAACCATCATCTTGAATCTGCAGCAACACAGTGCTTTTGATATAGTCAAAAACATAAATGCAAATTTTACACCACTAAACAGCGAGGAATAAATTAAACAGACATCAAACTGATAACTGAAACTACTTACAAGGGCAGCCTGACTTTTCAAATCCTCAAGGTTGAAATTCCAGGCACTTATTCCTCTTATGTACTCTTGCTGCAAGGTAAACAGAGTTTAAAATCAGGACAATATCAATTTGGTTAGCAGACTCTATCCAAGTAAAAAAAAAACCTCATTTTAAACACTATATATAAGAGTTAAAAGCAATGACCTGGTTAGAATTTTGATGGAGGACAATAATTTAGGAAGCAGAACATGAAACCTTTTTTCCTTATTAAAGTAGGAAGTGTTTCTTTTGTTGTTTAGACTTAATTTCCTTTAGTAAAATTTTAGTTAAGTGGATTAAGATTCTTTCATTTCTTTCCTTTAGTACCTGGACTAATTATAAATTTAATTATAATTTCATTAGTTTCACAAACAAAACCGATGACAACATAAACAAAGTGGTTGATTTATGAAATATACTTTCTTTCCAGTAAGGAAAATCCTCTTCACATAACAGCCCAAAACAAACCACTAATTGTTGGCACCTATCACCTTAAAACACAATAAAAGTAGGCACCAATGTTTTATACCAGAATTGAAAAATAAAATAAAAGCTGCATTCCTCACCTGTGATAGCTGCTCTTTATCCCCGTAGAGAGCCTTATTCTGTAGTAGATCTGCCTCATTTGCCTGGAACATAAGAGATCAGAGGAAGTATAGCAAAAGTTAGGACTTTTTTACAAGGAAATTTGCAATGCCCAAAGAAAATATGGAATAAGCAAGAGACCTTCAGCACCCTAAAACGTTCACCTAACGGAGCAAGATTATCGAGAATAGTGCGAGCCAGATAATCGTATGAGCGTGCATGTTTAAAGAAATGATGTTTCAAAAGCTTTTCTGATGTTGGACGTTTTTTTGGATCCTTCACTAAGCAAGCAGCAACCATCTCTTTGAAAGACTGGAAAAATTGAAGCATTTTCAAAAGGGGTTAGGTTGCAGTTTCAGAAAAATCCAAGGATATCAGTCAAAAAGTGTTCATTGAACACAAACCTTTGAGAACCTCCTATCTCTTTCATAATCAAGACCTGGAGGTGCATTTTGTAAGGTCATCAGCAAAACCTGCATTTAAATAAGAGGATAAGCAGATTGAATACCAACACAGTAGGCACCTATGAATAGCTTCGAGTATGAAAATTACTTTCATTGGTGGATACTTTGAAAAGGGAGCATGGCCATGAGCAAGTTCCAGAGCGGTTATTCCAAATGACCAGATATCTGCTCTGTTTATACAAACAAATCTTATGAACACTTCAACCTAAAACGTACTAGCAAAAACTGAAAAAGGAAAAAATAAAAATAAATAAACAAAAGCAATCCACTCACTTAAAGTCATATCCATGCAATTGCTGCATCACTTCAGGAGCCATCCTGTGAAAAAAGTAGATACTTGTAAGTCTGTATACACGAGATTTATATGTTTCACAAAACAACAAAGCAGTGAGATCTCAAACTACAAGCAAGAAAATTACCAGCATGGTGTTCCAACAAAAGTATTTCTATTACGTTGCCTATCTCCAGCATCAAACATGCATGCTGATACGCCAAAGTCCGCTACCTTGACCGCACCATTAGAATTGATTAATATATTCCCCGACTGCAGGAAACATGATACTGTAAATACTAATTGTTGAATAGAAACCACAATTAAAATAGGAAAAGGCCAGCAAAGACAATGATAGAAAAACAAAACAGTATCCAAACAATATGAAGCAAGCTGTACGCAAGCTGACAGAGAAACAATAATGTAACGATTTATAAAACCAGATGAGCAGAGATAGGAGTGTTGATGCCTTCACTAGAAGATAAAAGATACAATATCAGAGTTGGTTCCAAGTAAATCAAGGTAAATGAGATATCAGAAAACAAATTGGAATTTTTTCTTTGATACAATATCATATTGAAAAAATTCCTCATATAAATTGGGTTTATACAACAAATATCTGTATAATTATTTATAAAGATATATCTCTTTCTATAATTGTTCCCTGCTCTAATCTGCTCATAAGCATCCCTATAAAACTATGAAGTTCTATGACTATTTGTTTCCAATATTTTTCATGCAGTACTCTCGTTTCTAATTTTTATAAAGAAAGGTGTTCAAGACTGCAGGTTAATGAGAATAAAATTCAATGGTTAACTATTAAAATAAGCAGGTACAGTAGGATACCTTCACATCTCTATGAATGTGCCCATGAGCATGAAGATAAACAAGAGCTTTGAGGGTCTCCTTCAACAAAGTAGCAATAACAGGCTCTTCAAAACCTTCTGGATAAGACGACTTCATGATATGAAGGCATGATCCCCCAGCCATGTATGGCATCACAACCCAAAGGCTGTGATCAGCAGTGAAAGAGCAATGGGCCCTTAGTACATTTGGATGATCAATCAAAGTCATGGTTTGTACCTCACGCCTGATACCATCCTGTATCATTTGCAAGGAAAACTCTTTTATGCGATAAGGATCGTATTTCCTTCAGAATACTAGATGATATTGAGGGTCTTAAACATGCATTGGTAGGTCATGAATCCACTTAGCACGGTCTTATAGATATAGATATGGATCATTTAACATTCAATGAAGGGACAAAATACCGCATATATCGTATTGACATAACAGATTTAGTCAAAAAGAACACAGAACTACATTTGTAAATCATTCAGCTATGATACCTTTTTAAAACTTGAAACACAGAGCTTAATACTATAGTTAAAACTCTTATCTAGTTTAAGCTTTTTGCAAGAGGTTACTTAACAAAGTACTAGAGTCAAGTTGATCAAGTGGTCCTAAGTACAAATCCTTCTATGGATTGATTAAGTTTTAATAAGTTGTGTTTGCAGCTGTTAGTTGTTGTAATTTTAGTTGTCTTCGATCCACATGCCTTGCCTAGTTGCCTGTTAGGGGCGTGTTAGAGCATAAATACTATTGTTTGGCAATTATCTATAAGTTTAAGCTTAAGATCAAGTAGTTACTTAATAGAACTTACAAAGTTTTTATATATTACATATGACAGGAAAAAGAGCAAGGTTCTGTTCTGTTCTGTTCTGTTCTGCTTTTGGTAAGCACTGGGAAAATAAAAAATAGGCAAACATTCAAGCAAACATAAAGCATTTAGTTTTTTAGAAATTTTCCATAGAGTGATTCTTCTTTTCTTTTCTTATCCTCATGTGTCCCAAAATAGAGAAAACGAAGTGTATTGTAGTACATCAGGCTCATGAAAAAGTAGTACGCTTACCAAGTCATTATTGCACTTTTCCAGATCAAGGACCTTGATAGCAACTATTTCATTAAGCGGAATGCAGAGTGCCCTATAGACAATGGCGCTGACACCTTCACCAACTTCTTCGTATAATTTATAATCTTTGGCATTGAGAGGAAATCGTTTATCCAAATCATACTCCATGTTCCCTTCTTACAGCACACTTTTAACATCCTCTTTACTCCTAAATGATCCAGAAAAGATAGACAAAACGTATATTAAGCACATGGGAGTCAATTCGATGTGGGGTGTCTTCCAATTGGGAAGCATTTTCCCTTTCCTCAGCATAAAACAGCATGTGAATCCAGTAACCTCATCAAGATGATCTTTTAACCAATGATCCTTGCATGCAAACCATATAAACCTCCCAAAAACTTGGATAATCACAAAAACCGTTGAATACTAGCAAATTGTTCCAAACAAGAAAATACTGCTATATCCAATATGATGTGCACTTAACTATTTCAACCAGCGGTGAAAAATAAAATAAGGCATGCGAAACAGAAGGAAGTAAGACCACCTTAAGCACTATAAGGGATTTAACACAGGCAATGAAAGAAGAAAGTCAGCAGATGTGAAGTTCTATCTCCTGTATCCTTTGCAGTTCTACAAACCAGTATTATAAAACTCCAAACTGACAAATGCGCTCCAAATCTAACCCAAGTCTCTCCTTTGCGAATGGGATAAAAATGAAATCCAATAAGGGAAGAGAGATAAATAAGCTGCAACTCCTAGTAAACTGAAATGCTGGAAATTTGGATAGTCTGTAACCTGCAGGAGAAAATAAGCATCAATCACCTTGTTCTTTCAAATATAGCTTATAAAACATGATTCAGAAAAACAAAGCAAAAAGATTGCAAATAGCATTGGCACAGACTCACAACACATAACAAAATTAACAGCATGGGCATTCTCACACCCAAGTTTGATAAACAAAACAGTCATCATGTTCACAGAAGAAAAGCACTTTTAACTATGTTTAAGTTAAACACCTCCCTGACTTATTATGGAAAGCATACCAAACTCAACAAGTTTTTCTCACCCGGTTCCCTCATGCTTCCCAACAAAGCAGTTGGTCATATCTATTTCTATACATAATCCCTTAAGAAGTGTGCACGTATTGTATCAAACAAACCCTCTAACATCCAAAACAATACATTTCCGGCCCATCTCCAACCAAGAACATATAAGATTCACATTCTTGAAAGAATTTCCAGAAATGAAATCAAAAAATGAAGAACATTGAGAAAGTATTAGGTCTAACTGAGCCCACTGCTTTGTTACCACCAAAAAAAAAAAAAAAATTCCCGCAAAAACAATTTAACTCCACATTTTCCGCATCATTTAGTTTCTCTCAACTTCCAAGAGAACAAAAATCAGTGTCTCTAATTTTACAATTCAAATACCAAACAAGCCCCTATTGTCAATGCCATAAATCAAAAGCTAGCAATATACTAGACAAAACAAATAAAAAACCTTCAAAAAAACAAAGAAACAAACAAAATTGAATGATTAAACTTCAGATTCACACGCAAACCAAAAACCTAGGGTTCGGGTGAGACTGAAGTAGATGGCAAACGAACTAACAAGAAGTGAATCTGATTCTGACCTGACTAAACAAAAGTGGCAAAACGGCGTTGGACTGAGCTGGACGATAAGTGTCTAATAAAAAATAATTACTAGTTCATCGAAACAAGATACTGGAGAAGTAGTTGGTTTTAGATGTTCGACAAAACCGATGAAAAGACGGTGAGAGTTTCAGATTTCTCCGTCTCTGTTGAGTCTTTGGAGGTCCTCTGAGATCGAATCTCTCACCGTTTACATCAAATGAAATGAAATGAAATTTAAAATAAATAAACGAGACACCTATTTATTTACTGAAAGAAAATTTTCTCAGATTAACTGGGAAATAAGACGGGGCCGCTGTTGAACTGGGAGTGGGGCCACCTAAGAGGTTTGAGTTTTTACTGTATTTGACGAGGAGGTGAAAAAATCGGGAGGGGATGGATGGGTCGGCAATTTATCGGAAAAATCGTTGGATCGCATCAGCTGAGTTGGGTCAACTTTGATTCTTGATTGGTTGGTATTATTTACAATGTCATTATCCTTATTTTATTTTTTAATTGCTAAATAAAATATCACCCACCTTCTCGAGTTTTTCTCAAAACAATAGTAACAGTAAATATTATTATTAAAGAATAGAAAAAATAAATCTAATTAAACTCTTATAATAAAGGCTTTTTATATTTGATTAGTGAACATCAAATAATGCAATTTTTGTTGGTGGAAATATAATTACACCTAACCAAAGCCATATTGTATCTAATTTTAACAAACAAAAATAATAATAAATAGATTAAAAACTAATCATGTGATTAGATGCCCTCTACCTCAGGCTCACATGAGATGTGAGACCGTTTAATCTACCTTGTGATCTTGTCCCCCTTTACATAATACCTAGGAACTCCAGTTAAGTGAAAATAAATAAGTAAACCAACAATTTCTAAATAATAGGAGTAAATAAACTTTGCATAAAGAGGTAAAATGAGTCAAATAATATATATATATATATATATATATATATATATGTCGGAAAAAGTTGGGTTGACGTAGAGCCTCGTCAGTAAAGGATGGTCAGAATTCAAAAAGGTTCTGCGTCGTTCAAGTGCGGCCACATCGCGCCTAGCGCAAATGGCATGGCTCCTTTCAGTACAGTAGGTGGGTGTCAAGCCAACAAGCGGCTAAAGATCATCCACACGTCAAAGTCCTGCTTTAATCGAGAAAATTCCTCGGGCAAGTGATCAATGGGACGCAAAGAAAAGATTTGCACAGCACCTCCCCACTTGCAACTTTCATAAAATTATCTCGAACTTTCCCAATATAAATAGAGGACTTCCCTCTTATTTGTGAGGATTAGCTAATTTTACGCTGAAATCATTTTTTCTCTCTAAACTGTAACTCAGCTCGCTGAACGCAACCTGATCACTCTCTCTTATTAATACAATAACAGTGGACGCATGATTCGTTTTAGAGCATTCGAACCACTTTAAATATTTCTCTTCATCTTTTATTTAATTCAATTCCCTCATATTACGTATGACTTCTAAGTTCGTTTAGCATTTTACATGTGTGAGTAGTTAGTATATTTTTTTAAAAGTAATCATTCAGGGGCTACAATAATATACCCCAATTCATAAAGCCAATTATTCGGAGAGTTTGCATGTGCTACTTCCAACTGGGTTGCACTAAACTCATTGCTTTTTTTTCTTTTTAGTTCATTATCCTCTATTTATGGCATAAATAACATGCAATTTCAGCTTTTTTATTTTGTTCTTTCATCTTGATTTAGTAAAAAGTTTTAGCCTTATTCTCTTATAGTTTATCTTCTTCTTTGTCAAATTCATATTTGATATTTTTTCTTCTCGCAATAATGCACCACTGTTGGTTATCATTTGTCCGCTCCATTTTTACACTTCACTTTAAGGAATGACGAATGACGAATGTATAGTTTCAATAGAAGAAAATTGAGATTTGACATTCTTTTAAGGAATTTAGATTTTTATGATCAACATTTTATTGCCACAATGATTAACACCCTATATATAAGTTTGGTACTATAACATATTTATTTACTTAAGAATGTGATAAATTATAAATAAGATATGGTGTAAAAGAAAATATAATTGGAATACTATAAAGTATTTTGGTAACCTTTTTCAATGGTCACCTCAACAAAATCCTTTGAGTTTGTTTGTTTTATGACTTTATATAATATATTTTTTTAGTTTTATTTGTATGATATGCTCATATCATACAGAAAGCGAAGACATCAAAGCTGACTTTTAAGATAAGATCTGATTTAATTTCATAATTAATTATTGTTCAAGTCCGCCCATCATCATCTTCTATAATATTTAGTTTGTTATCCTTTATTTCCCTTTTTTTATTTTATGTATCAAAGTTTATCTACAATAAGAACAACTAAATCTTCACACTTGACTTTCCAAACTCAACATTTTTTTGTTTTTCTATGGACCATGTATATCTTTCGGTCCAACTTCCATAATGTCACGTTTGGCCCAAATTCAAGTATGTACGGGACTCAATATCCCATTCAAGAGAATTGACAAAAACCTGACCCAGGAGTATCAAAAAATATGTCAGGTAATCTATTAAAAAAACTCCTGAAATGTTCATTTACCAAAAAGGCAGCAAAATAAGATTATAATTCTATTACTTATACATTTAATCATACTCATCCATCTTAATAGATATATACGGATTTAGACCATCATATCTACTTATAAACTCCAATATAACATTAACGCTAGTTAGTCTTAACTTATTTTTATTCAAATATTGTATTCATTTGATGGCAACACAATGGAGTTTTCTTCATAATCTCTATTATTCGTATTCTTATTATTTATTTAAGAGTTTGTGGGTTTATTGTCAAATCTATTGTTTGCGCACACATTCCAGGCCCAAATAGGGGTGGGCTTAGTTATATTATATGGAGTCTTAAATTAACATGATTTTATCATTGAGCAAATGACATGTTCCCACCCGAGGTTTACCGAAATCTTAAGTTCATACCTTTGATTTCATTTATTCCAGATATCAACCCTTAATCTAACACCGTTTCTTTTATTTTAAAAGTTGAAGGGTAAAAGCATCAAAACCCCATTTCTCTCACCTCACCTACATTGAATGCCTTCTCATCTTCATCTTCTTCTTCTTCGTCTCTCGTCCATTCTAACACAAGAACTCCATTTAACACTTTTTTTTTTTTTACCCATTCTTCCTCTTCTTCTACTTCTCCTCTTTTCCTTCTCTCTTCCAGATTCTTCCTCTTTTCCATCTCTCTTTCTTCTTCTCATCTCTCCATCAGATTCTTCATCTTCTTCTTCTTCTCCTCTTTTTCTTCTCTCTGTTTTCTTCTCTTCTCTCCACCAGCTGCTTCCCCTTGCCATCCCCACCAAAACCCCAACGCCATCTAGCCGCGTCACTCATCGTCGTCACTCAATAGTCTTCTGGGTTTACCTCAACAATTTTTTATTTTATTTTATAATATATATAATTAAAAAAAGTTTATTATTATAGGGTGAAAATGATTTGTGTACAAAAATAATACTCGGATCTTTGATCAATTATCATGTTTGTGTTGAGAATTTTTCATTCCACTTTTTTCTTTTTTTTTTTAAGATGCACATGTCTTTAATATTTTCTTGTGTTATCTTTAATTTTCGGGAACAAACGAGGAGAAAACTAGTCGGGGTTTTGGTGGGGATGGCGAGGGGAAGCAGCTGGTGGAGAGAAGAGAAGAAGAATCTGGTGGAGAAAAGAGAAGAAAAAAGAGAGGAAGAATTTGGAAGAGAGAAGATAAGAAGAAAGAGAAAAGGAAAAGAGGAGAAGAAGAGGAAGAATGGGTATTTAAAAAAAAAAAGTGTAAAATGGAGTTCCTGTGTTAGAATGGAGGAGAGACGAAGAAGAAGGAGATACGAGGGCAGTTAATGGTGGTGAGTTGAGATAAATGAGGCTTTGACCCTCTTACCTTTCAACTTTTTAAAAATAACAGTAATGCTACGACACTAAAAATTGGTACGGAAAATTTGCATCAAAATACGTGGCCCCTGACTCGGACGTCACCACGTAGGACACGATAGAAGACTTCCATAAATGGACGGCCGTCCAACATTTTCGAACGACCCTCCATACTTTATGGACGATCATTTATTCAGGAATGGACGACGATCCATAAAAAATATTTAAAAATAAACTAAAAATCAATGGACCACTGTCCAAATACTAGGGACGGACGTCCCTTTAATATAAACGGTCGTCCAAATTATATGGATGACCATCCAAATAAGCACACTAGATGGACGTTTGTCCATCTTATGTGGACGATCATCCTTATAAAAGGGACGACCGTCCACAATAGATGGACTAGCATCCATTTAGTGTTAAAATTATTTTTACAAAAAATAAAAACAAAGCATTGGATGGATTGGCGTCCATTTAGTGTTAAAAATTAAAAAATAAATAAAATAAAAACAGAACATTAGATGGACACCAGTCCGTCCATCTATTGTGGATGGCCGTCCCTTTTATATGGACGACCGTCCACATGAGATTGACTGGCATCCATATTATGTTAAAAATTTCAAAAACAATTTCATTTTTTCTAGGACATTTAGGGATTTTGTTCCAAAACTTGCATAAAAAATGCCAACAGCAGAAACACCATATCTACCGCTATTGAAGCCACACTATCTGTCGTTGTTGAAGCCACATTATCTGCCATCGTTATTCATCCATATTATGTTAAAAAATTTAAAATTTCAAAAAAAATTTCATTTTTTTCCAAGACATTTAGGGATTCTGTTCCAAAATTTGCATAAAAAATGCCAAACAGTAGAATCACCATATCTGCCGCTATTGAAGCCACACTATCTATCGCCGTTGAAGCCACATTATCTGCCGCCGTTATTCACTTCTTCATCTTCATCGTTTGGACTCCGGCTGTGAGTATTTTTTTGTTTTTTTTATTGAACAAAGTTAAAAACTGTGATATGGAGGCTTGTTCTTTAACTTTCATTTGTTGTGTGCAATTTAGAGATTTACACAATGTCTAATTGTTTTGTTCCTTAATGATTTTTCTATTACTTTCTAAAAATTGATAGTAGAAGTTAAGGGAGCCAGTTGTGTGAATTAGGCATAAACTTAACATTTTAGGTACCATTTCTGCACTAAAATTATGGGTTAATGGATAATTGTAGCTATTAGTTTGCAAGTCTTTGCTCTATATTAAGTTTTGAAAAAATACAAAGCTAAAACAAGTCGTTAAATTAATAGATGGTGATGATTGCAATAAGTTAAGTTTGGCAGAGTTAGGAATTTGAGAATTGTATTCTTTGTTGCTGAGCTCATACTCGAAC